CCAAAGCACACGGACAAGTTATAAAGCCACATCCACCGTCAAGGATCCTTTTCTCCTTGTCTCCTCTTCTTCAGTGGTGATTGCATAATTTAAATGTATAGATACCTGGCCTCAAATTAAGGAGGTTCTCTTAGGTCAACAGATCATAGAGCCCAGCATCAAGTGAAATCATGTCTGTATAAATATGGGAAGCCAGGGCTAGAGGAATTCCTTGGCCCTAATGAGAGCCGTTTGACACTTTTCAAAGAACATTATGGCCATCATTCCTTTATCTTTTACATTCAAAGATTCTGAATTTCTGACAATATCATTCAAAATCTAGCTTCTGAAGTTGATACTAATTTACTAATTTTTCATTGGGAGGTGGAAGAAAGAGGATTGGTCTTAGAATTCTGGGTATTCCAAAGCACTGCCTGGAAAAAACTAATGTTGCCTGCAAGAGATATACCTCTTCCCCACAAAAGAAAAGCTAAAATTAAAGAAACAAAAGTACCCTACCAAACTGAACACTCTAGGGTCTTGTTCTGGGTTTTAATTAAAATATCTATTATGAAAAAATAAAATGTTTACATGTGTAATGATAAAATAAAATAAAAAGAGAAAGAAAGAAAGAAAAAAAATCTATAATAGCTCATAAACAAAGGCCAAGACTTAAGAGAATAAAGAGAAGGCAGCTTTAGCAAATAAAGGGTAAAATAAAAACTCTTACTTTCCAGCCGTAAATTCAGAGAACTTTGCAATTTGTTTAAGATCAAGGAGAGAGAACCAAACAGAAAAGACAAAGTCTAGTCAGCTTCTATTAGGTAACCTGAGAGATGGATGTCTTAAGTCAGGCTCCCTAGAAGCAGAGCCTGAAATAGGGATTTGAATGCACACAACCTCTAGAGGAAATACTCTCAGAAGAAAGGGGTGAGGGAAGCAGGATAGGGCAGGGTAAGGAGCTGATCAAGACAGTGTCTCAGCTGGAGTCCAGCTTTAGCCTGATTGCAGAGATCACTGGAGCATAAATTGCACCACAACACTGGTGTCATTTAGAGGCAAAAGCCCAACTCTGTACTCTGTTGCCCAGGGGTGGGTGGAGAGTGACCTTTCAGGTGAGGTGGCTCCCACTGGCCAAGGGCAATTCTCCAGAGGAGATAGCTGTGAGCTGTTAGCAGTCTACACTCACAGCAGCTGGAAGGTAAATGAATCTGCCAGTAAAGGGGATCTGGGTGGGGCAGCAACAGCACACACTTACAGGAGAGTATTTCTATTCCTGGTCAAAACAGAACACATGGATGCATTTTGCTTCTACTGATCCATATTTTAATAGGAACTGATGGTAAATCAGACTGGCCATTGGTTCCAAAAGCCAAAAGCCTGGTGCCAGAGTTTTAAAAACTCATAAACACCATGGTTGATTCATCTGTGGTCTGAAGGAAGGAACTGATTAGAAAAAGCCCCCAAACATGAGTAAACATGCCAACATTTGCAACTCTGGAAACTTTAAGAATGTTAGAAGAAAAAAATCCCAACTGTCCCATTTCTTGGTCAAGGAGAAATATACAGTTCATTTTTGCTGACACTTCTGTTAAAGAAGTAGCAATATTAGAAAACGTGGAGCAAGGGAGAAAGGAATATTCTCCAGAAGAGGTTAGGAGGAAGAAATACAGTAAAACGAGACAAAGCGTGCTTCTTTGTATTCAGTACTGTTTCATACACATAGGGCAGGAGGAAAAAAGTAGATGTCAAGATGTTCTGAAAGGTCATTTGCTCTGCCAAGTGCATACGCAGTAGCGAGATTGTCAAATCCAGGATTATTTGAATGCCTGGAAATTTAAGCGCCAGAGGTGAGTTTTGAGATTACAAAGTTAACAAGCACGCCTTTCTCACTCTTCCCCCGTGCTCAGTACCTTCTTTTCTAAGTTCATCAGACTTTTGTTCAAGTTTTTCAATATCATCATCCAATCCATCTGAAAATAAAAGGACCACCTACAAAAGGAGCCAAAAAAGAAAAATGAATAAAAGGAGTTCATTGCAACTGCAGACCAACAAATAAAATAAAATCTTGTTACCTTTCCTCGAGCAGCCGATTTGTTCTGAAATGCACCCCATAGAGAACTCAAGAGATTTGCGTTGAGAAGAGATGGTCCTTTAACTGTTACATTCTTCAACCTGTTCAGTATGTTTTCACTGTAGATCTCAAACTTGGGAGAATATTTTTCCATGGCATTTGTCACTTGGAAAGCCACACTAACCTGAGTCTCCGTGCCCACCTCACAGCTTACCCCATTGAGGGAGCTGATGGCACGTAAGATGTCTTGAAGGTAGGTTTCTATCCAAGGCTGACCTTCGAGCAAAGTCTGCTCTTTCTGCTGAGTTGAGACATCAAATCCCACCACAACATCCATGAAACAGTCTAGGATTCAAGGGAAAAGCATATCTTATTAAGTCAAGGAACACCTTTATTTGATTTAGATGCCATGTCTGAATTAAAGGACTTGGAGTTCATATTTCTACTCCAGTTATAAAGTTGGAAAACAAGGAAGGGCATGAGTGAGTAAGGGAAGGGGCTTGGAATCACTCTTTTATAATCTGTATAACTGTAAGTGTACATTATTATTTTTTTAGCTGGTATAAAATATGGATGATTCTATAACAGTTAAAGTTCTAAAAGATTTTATTGTAGCTGTTGAAAAAGCCACGTGGAGTCACTTAAATATCTCTAAAGTACATTGTGGAAATGTTAATAGACTAAAATCAGAAATGCATATCATGCTACTTGTCACTTGAGGTCATTCAACAAATATTAAATTATAATAATTATAAGGGAAATGTAAATACATATGAATAGGGAAAGTCATTTGAAAAAAGTAAATCACAAAGGACTTGCCTAAGGAATGGTTTTGATGATTTATCTTTCTGAAAAGGGTCTCTGATTCCTCTTTTTGTCTTAGACATCCACTCAGAAAAGAAAAAGTAAAAGCAAAAATAAAAAATCCCAGAGATCCTTTGAGATCTTGCTTGGTTTAAGAACTACAAGTGAAGAGACTGAGAACCAAATTATCCATATTCAAAGGTAGTGGTGTCTTGAGGAGCTCGGCCCTTCAGGAAGCCAAGGACACTGCCATTTGGGGTTCTAGCATTACTTAAAGAGGTATAGCATTTAAATTTCTTTGCTCTTATCCTTATTAACTCCGGGAAAATTTAAGCATTGGAGAAACTAGAAGGGGATTTTTTTTTTTTTTATTTAAACATAATTGATTGTACATATCTGTAGGGTACAGCATTGAATATCCATACCTGTGTGCAATATGTGATGCTCAAATCAGGATAATTAGTATATTCAACGTTACACAATATAATCATTTTTCGGGGCCCTTTACCAATTTCCCACTAACCTCCCCTCCCTCCTCCCCCTTTCCCACCCATTGTAATCTCAGTTCTGTTCTCTCCTTTTGGAAGTTCAATGTAATATTGTAATTGTTGTATCTTTTTAAAATTCTTTTTAAAATTTTTATTTCATTTATTTCATTTTTAAAATTTTTTTAGCGGCTTGGTATTTTAAGCTGAGCTTCCTAAAAGCAGATAATTAGAAAAGGATAAAGTCATATGACACATACACTTTTCTTTCAAGAATTTTTAATTTGGCTGAAAACTTCAACTATTTTTTTTTTTTTTAGCAAACTCAACAGACAGCTTGCTTTGTAAAATAAGGAATGATTTTTAATCTGCTTTGTTTAGATCAGCAGTTTTTGAGATACTTGTTGTGTGAGCAAATTCCTGTCTACACTTCCTGCTAGACACATGGACAGTTGGACATTTGCAAGTCTTTCAAACAAAATGTCAATTTCAATTATTAAAACAAGAACTGGTCACTTAAATCATTTTTAATGAGAAGAGTTACGTGAGGAAAAAGCATCTTTTTTGGAAATCACTTTTCACCAAGAGATTCATAGTAAATTAACATGTTATCAAAAATCTGAAAGGCTGGTTTTCTTATTTTACTTTATTGAAAATCTCTTCTTGGACATTCGGAAAGTGAGACAAAGAGAATGAAACTAGTCAGAAAGAAGGATCAGAATACGTCCTTTCCAAAATTCCTTTTGAATCTTCTCATATCTGTGTCTTGGGTGAACATTATTTTAACCTCTGAACAGAAAACCAGTCAGTAACCGAGATATATATAACTGCCTTCAAGGAAAACTTGTAAAAAAACAAACAANCAAGGATCCTTTTCTCCTTGTCTCCTCTTCTTCAGTGGTGATTGCATAATTTAAATGTATATATACCTGGCCTCAAATTAAGGAGGTTCTCTTAGGTCAACAGATCATAGAGCCCAGCATCAAGTGAAATCACTCAAGGATCCTTTTCTCCTTGTCTCCTCTTCTTCAGTGGTGATTGCATAATTTAAATGTATAGATACCTGGCCTCAAATTAAGGAGGTTCTCTTAGGTCAACAGATCATAGAGCCCAGCATCAAGTGAAATCATGTCTGTATAAATATGGGAAGCCAGGGCTAGAGGAATTCCTTGGCCCTAATGAGAGCCGTTTGACACTTTTCAAAGAACATTATGGCCATCATTCCTTTATCTTTTACATTCAAAGATTCTGAATTTCTGACAATATCATTCAAAATCTAGCTTCTGAAGTTGATACTAATTTACTAATTTTTCATTGGGAGGTGGAAGAAAGAGGATTGGTCTTAGAATTCTGGGTATTCCAAAGCACTGCCTGGAAAAAACTAATGTTGCCTGCAAGAGATATACCTCTTCCCCACAAAAGAAAAGCTAAAATTAAAGAAACAAAAGTACCCTACCAAACTGAACACTCTAGGGTCTTGTTCTGGGTTTTAATTAAAATATCTATTATGAAAAAATAAAATGTTTACATGTGTAATGATAAAATAAAATAAAAAGAGAAAGAAAGAAAGAAAAAAAATCTATAATAGCTCATAAACAAAGGCCAAGACTTAAGAGAATAAAGAGAAGGCAGCTTTAGCAAATAAAGGGTAAAATAAAAACTCTTACTTTCCAGCCGTAAATTCAGAGAACTTTGCAATTTGTTTAAGATCAAGGAGAGAGAACCAAACAGAAAAGACAAAGTCTAGTCAGCTTCTATTAGGTAACCTGAGAGATGGATGTCTTAAGTCAGGCTCCCTAGAAGCAGAGCCTGAAATAGGGATTTGAATGCACACAACCTCTAGAGGAAATACTCTCAGAAGAAAGGGGTGAGGGAAGCAGGATAGGGCAGGGTAAGGAGCTGATCAAGACAGTGTCTCAGCTGGAGTCCAGCTTTAGCCTGATTGCAGAGATCACTGGAGCATAAATTGCACCACAACACTGGTGTCATTTAGAGGCAAAAGCCCAACTCTGTACTCTGTTGCCCAGGGGTGGGTGGAGAGTGACCTTTCAGGTGAGGTGGCTCCCACTGGCCAAGGGCAATTCTCCAGAGGAGATAGCTGTGAGCTGTTAGCAGTCTACACTCACAGCAGCTGGAAGGTAAATGAATCTGCCAGTAAAGGGGATCTGGGTGGGGCAGCAACAGCACACACTTACAGGAGAGTATTTCTATTCCTGGTCAAAACAGAACACATGGATGCATTTTGCTTCTACTGATCCATATTTTAATAGGAACTGATGGTAAATCAGACTGGCCATTGGTTCCAAAAGCCAAAAGCCTGGTGCCAGAGTTTTAAAAACTCATAAACACCATGGTTGATTCATCTGTGGTCTGAAGGAAGGAACTGATTAGAAAAAGCCCCCAAACATGAGTAAACATGCCAACATTTGCAACTCTGGAAACTTTAAGAATGTTAGAAGAAAAAAATCCCAACTGTCCCATTTCTTGGTCAAGGAGAAATATACAGTTCATTTTTGCTGACACTTCTGTTAAAGAAGTAGCAATATTAGAAAACGTGGAGCAAGGGAGAAAGGAATATTCTCCAGAAGAGGTTAGGAGGAAGAAATACAGTAAAACGAGACAAAGCGTGCTTCTTTGTATTCAGTACTGTTTCATACACATAGGGCAGGAGGAAAAAAGTAGATGTCAAGATGTTCTGAAAGGTCATTTGCTCTGCCAAGTGCATACGCAGTAGCGAGATTGTCAAATCCAGGATTATTTGAATGCCTGGAAATTTAAGCGCCAGAGGTGAGTTTTGAGATTACAAAGTTAACAAGCACGCCTTTCTCACTCTTCCCCCGTGCTCAGTACCTTCTTTTCTAAGTTCATCAGACTTTTGTTCAAGTTTTTCAATATCATCATCCAATCCATCTGAAAATAAAAGGACCACCTACAAAAGGAGCCAAAAAAGAAAAATGAATAAAAGGAGTTCATTGCAACTGCAGACCAACAAATAAAATAAAATCTTGTTACCTTTCCTCGAGCAGCCGATTTGTTCTGAAATGCACCCCATAGAGAACTCAAGAGATTTGCGTTGAGAAGAGATGGTCCTTTAACTGTTACATTCTTCAACCTGTTCAGTATGTTTTCACTGTAGATCTCAAACTTGGGAGAATATTTTTCCATGGCATTTGTCACTTGGAAAGCCACACTAACCTGAGTCTCCGTGCCCACCTCACAGCTTACCCCATTGAGGGAGCTGATGGCACGTAAGATGTCTTGAAGGTAGGTTTCTATCCAAGGCTGACCTTCGAGCAAAGTCTGCTCTTTCTGCTGAGTTGAGACATCAAATCCCACCACAACATCCATGAAACAGTCTAGGATTCAAGGGAAAAGCATATCTTATTAAGTCAAGGAACACCTTTATTTGATTTAGATGCCATGTCTGAATTAAAGGACTTGGAGTTCATATTTCTACTCCAGTTATAAAGTTGGAAAACAAGGAAGGGCATGAGTGAGTAAGGGAAGGGGCTTGGAATCACTCTTTTATAATCTGTATAACTGTAAGTGTACATTATTATTTTTTTAGCTGGTATAAAATATGGATGATTCTATAACAGTTAAAGTTCTAAAAGATTTTATTGTAGCTGTTGAAAAAGCCACGTGGAGTCACTTAAATATCTCTAAAGTACATTGTGGAAATGTTAATAGACTAAAATCAGAAATGCATATCATGCTACTTGTCACTTGAGGTCATTCAACAAATATTAAATTATAATAATTATAAGGGAAATGTAAATACATATGAATAGGGAAAGTCATTTGAAAAAAGTAAATCACAAAGGACTTGCCTAAGGAATGGTTTTGATGATTTATCTTTCTGAAAAGGGTCTCTGATTCCTCTTTTTGTCTTAGACATCCACTCAGAAAAGAAAAAGTAAAAGCAAAAATAAAAAATCCCAGAGATCCTTTGAGATCTTGCTTGGTTTAAGAACTACAAGTGAAGAGACTGAGAACCAAATTATCCATATTCAAAGGTAGTGGTGTCTTGAGGAGCTCGGCCCTTCAGGAAGCCAAGGACACTGCCATTTGGGGTTCTAGCATTACTTAAAGAGGTATAGCATTTAAATTTCTTTGCTCTTATCCTTATTAACTCCGGGAAAATTTAAGCATTGGAGAAACTAGAAGGGGATTTTTTTTTTTTTTATTTAAACATAATTGATTGTACATATCTGTAGGGTACAGTAAAGGAATAATGAACCTTCTTCATGAAAATGATGCCCTTGTTCTATTACCAAGACATGCACTCCTTGACTTGAGTCATGAAAGGGAATTGTGTTCCTTCTATGAAATATTTTTTTAAAAATAATGACATTGTGTAATGTTGAATATACTAATTATCCTGATCTGAGCATCACATATTGAACACAGGTGTTGATATACAATGCTGTACCCCACAGATATGTACAATCGGTTATGTTTAAATTAAAAAATATATACATTTTGAGTAACGAATATTGAGATGTAACAGATAAAAACATGTGCTCTATTTTAAGATTTCAAGTCTGTGTCCCTTTAGTCTTTCATGTGCCATAATGAATTTTTTTTTTTTTACCATAGATTGATTTCCTATGAAGTAGAAATGTATTTGTGTGTTCATATGTGATGCTCAAATCAGGATAATTAGTATATTCAACATTACACAATATAATCATTTTTCGTGGCCCTTTACCAATTTCCCACTAACCTCCCCTCCCTCCTCCCCCTTTCCCACCCATTGTAATCTCAGTTCTGTTCTCTCCTTTTGGAAGTTCAATGTAATATTGTAATTGTTGTATCTTTTTAAAATTTTTATTTCATTTATTTCATTTTTAAAATTTTTTTAGCGGCTTGGTATTTTAAGCTGAGCTTCCTAAAAGCAGATAATTAGAAAAGGATAAAGTCATATGACACATACACTTTTCTTTCAAGAATTTTTAATTTGGCTGAAAACTTCAACTATTTTTTTTTTTTTTAGCAAACTCAACAGACAGCTTGCTTTGTAAAATAAGGAATGATTTTTAATCTGCTTTGTTTAGATCAGCAGTTTTTGAGATACTTGTTGTGTGAGCAAATTCCTGTCTACACTTCCTGCTAGACACATGGACAGTTGGACATTTGCAAGTCTTTCAAACAAAATGTCAATTTCAATTATTAAAACAAGAACTGGTCACTTAAATCATTTTTAATGAGAAGAGTTACGTGAGGAAAAAGCATCTTTTTTGGAAATCACTTTTCACCGAGAGATTCATAGTAAATTAACATGTTATCAAAAATCTGAAAGGCTGGTTTTCTTATTTTACTTTATTGAAAATCTCTTCTTGGACATTCGGAAAGTGAGACAAAGAGAATGAAACTAGTCAGAAAGAAGGATCAGAATACGTCCTTTCCAAAATTCCTTTTGAATCTTCTCATATCTGTGTCTTGGGTGAACATTATTTTAACCTCTGAACAGAAAACCAGTCAGTAACCGAGATATATATAACTGCCTTCAAGGAAAACTTGTAAAAAAACAAACAATCTGTGTCTTGGGTGAACATTATTTTAACCTCTGAACAGAAAACCAGTCAGTAACCGAGATACATAACTGCCTTCAAGGAAAACTTGTAAAAAAACAAACAAGGGCAGAAATGCCAAGATGACATTAAGTGACCCTAGGGACTATTCCCTACAAAAATTGAGTATTTTAACTTTTTGTTTAGATTGGTGAAAGTTCAAATTCTACCTAAATAAGTTCCTAGTGTTTGTTTAATTCAAATGACAAATGATTCCAAAATAACATGATCAAAGGAATGGAATTTGAGGAACAAGTCCAGCAGCCATGTGTCTAAGTACAAGTAGAGAGACAGGAACACACTGATCCAGTGAGCTCTCATGAATGGCCTTGATAACTCCACTGCGACACCTGCCCTTACATCAGAAGCCCTTCAGGGTTTTGGAACTAAAGTCTTCCCACGATAGAGGTCGTGCTTTAGAGTGAATCAGCCAATGGTGATTTGAATTAACCAGAGGTAGGAATAGTTGGAAGTGAACTAGGGAGAAGGCTAAAATTGGATTTCCAAAAAGAAATAATGAAGAATTAAATTAAGATAATAGGAGTGGAAATAGAAAAAGTGCAACAAAAGAAAGGAAAATTAAGATGGTAATCCACAAGACTGGCTACAGAGTACAGTAAAAAAAAGAAATAAAAGCAGAATTTTGAGCCTCTGAGTGGTCTTCCAAATAGCAGCGCGGACGCCTGGGGGTAGAGAAGGTCTTTGAGTGGGAAGACAGTTCAGTTTCAGTTGTGTGCTGGTCATGACTCTGTTACTGCTGAACAACTTTTTGTAAATCTCTTAACCTCTCTGGGCATTAATTTTCTTGTCTAAAAAAATAAGGGGATTATATATTTCAAAATAAAAATACAAAAGAACAGAAAAGAGTGAATTGAACTAGACAGTTGCCATTTCATGGTTCCCTGCCAGGCCCCAAAGCTGATTCTGATTATCTGATTTATAAAGAAAGCCCTTAATTGGAGTCAATGATGGCAGATTCTTAGTACTAAGAAATACTGTCAAGAGGGTAGGACATATTCATAAGAAGACCGAGATTCTTAAGAAAATACTTTAAAGGAGAAAGTGGAGCTGTTAGCAGTTATGAGCTGGAATAGGAGAGAATTATGTTAGAGAACTCTGAAAGAAGGGGTGTCTTAGATGAAAAAAGAGAAAGGATGAACTAGAAAATACAGTTAAGTACTGTAAGAGACCCAGTTGATATACTTCCCAGATTTGCTTCCTTCCTCCTGCCCAAGACTTGGACATTTGTCCACTGGGGAGCCCAGGCTGCCACCATTGTCTGGTCTCCTAACCCTGCAGGGGTGAGAGCCAGGCTTCCCCATGGCCTCCACCGTGCCCACTGCAGAAGGGCCACAGTGGCTCTGATGCCCACATGCAGGAAGTCCTGCAGGCTCTGGCTCCTCCACCACTTCGGGCCCCAGAGGCAGTACACAGAGGCTACTGGATCTGGTTTCCCCAGCAGTTTTCCAGAGGGGCTGGACAATACAACTCACTGGTGTGAGAGTTAACTCTCTGTGGGTCAACTCTGACTAATGAGAGGCAGGAGATGGGGAGGAATTGGCAGATAAATCCTCCTTTACTCCCCCTGCTGGCCTGGTCCATGCAGTGTTTCTACAGGGCCTCTGGCGATGTTCTGCATGACCAGTGTACCAGTTATGCTCTCCTCAGAAGCTGCGGCTAGCTTGGTCACATTTTGTGACCTTGTGTCTACTTTTCCTCCCTTCCTGCAACACTTCCCTTCCACTGCCTCTTGCTTCCCTGGGATTGCACGCCCAATAAAGTATTTGCACGTAAACTTTGCTTCAAGTTCTACTTTCTAGAGAACCCAGTTAGGACAGGAACATAAAGAGCTCCTTATCAGGAACAGTTGGAAATGACTGTCTTTTTTCCTTAATATTTCTCATATTCCCTGAATCAAATCCAAAGGTCTTCTCTTACTTCATTCTAATCAGACTGGCTTTTTGCTTAATCTCCTTTTTGATCCATCTATCCATGATTATAGATGCAAAAGACGAGAGGTGCTTCTGATTCTTTTGCCACCTAATCATGACTCCATGCCCAAAACAGCAGATTTTCACAACCTGAAAATTGCCTGAAGTCTCCTCTAAGTGGACAGAGTAGCCAGGCTCAAAGAAAAATCAGAAAAATCAGCATGATTATAGATGCAAAAGACGAGAGGTGCTTCTGATTCTTTTGCCACCTAATCATGACTCCATGGCAAAAACGGCAGATTTTCACAACCTGAAAATTGCCTGAAGTCTCCTCTAAGTGGACAGAGTAGCCAGGCTCAAAGAAAAATCAGAAAAATCAGCATTGATGAAGGTAAGAAAACAGAATTTGGAATTTAGTTACTTAGGAGAATTTGGTATACATTGAGACATGAAATTTGAATATAGCTCTGAAATGTTGCTAAAATATTCAAGTTCCTAAACAAAGGAACTTTTGGTAAATTGTCCTTCTGTGAACTAACCCCATCACTCCATATATTTGCATGTATAGTATTACTGTAAGGCACCCTCTGTGACATGCTACAATCATGACTACTGAACATTCACCATGCACTTCCCATTCATTATCTCACTGGTCCCTATAAAACAAAGCATAAGTAGAAAGTCTTAATAATACTCATTTTGCAGGAGAGGAAATAGTGAGTTAGAGAAGCTTGACTGAGCTGTTCCAGTTATAACTGTGGAGCTCACACTTGGGATTTAGATCCAGGCTTATCTGGAGTCCATATGCTGAACCATCTTATTTCACCACTTCCTGTTACCAATGATAACAGGTCACACAGGTTACTAGTTCTGCTACTAGACTGTGCTGTTGGAAGTGACAGTTTATCAGTAAGTGGTTTCCTTAGGAAGCAGCAGCTTGTGGGAACAAGATATAAACAAAGATTCATCTTTGTTTTTATATCTTTACAAAGCTATAAACCCATGATGACTTAATAAGCTCCAGCTATTAGCTGATGAAGCACAACACTTAGACACTAGTTCTTTACGATGTCAACATCAGATAACATACACAACAACTATGTCAAGGAAATAGCTTAATTTAATCAAAAAAGGGGTGAGGGGAGAGATTGGGTCAGACATACGTAGGTTTCCAAATGTGCTTAGCCTGTTACTTCCTGTATGATCTAGATCAGACTGTCAATATTCCTTTGAGCCCCAGTTTCCACATTTATAGATGAAAATAAAAATGCAAACCACATAGGGTATTGGGAAAACTAAAGGAGATAATGCATTTAAAGTGCTTAGAGCACCAGGCTTGGTAAATGCTCAAAAAGTATTGATACCTAGTCACTTCCCTCATATCTCCATGCAGCCGACCTTCCTTTCACAAATATTGAACCAGAGTGTGCAATTAGAGAAACTCTCAGAGATGACTGAGCTTTACGAACGAGAAAACTAAGACTCAGAAAGGGTAATGACTTCTCCAAAGTTACACTGTTTTAATAAGCACAGCAGATATTCAGGCTCCAAGTCCAGTTTGCTTTGAGTCACACCAAGCTACTGTCTGATTTCCTTGATTTCAGGATTTATAGTTTAAGAAGAACTGGCATCCCCTAATATATTTGCACATGCCTTTGAAGCTTTATCAGCATTCATTCCAGCCTCATCAATCCTCGGCTCACAGCTTGGCTACAAAGGCCACACATTCTTGCTTGCTAGAGTAATGACTTCAAGTTTATCTTAATATAGAGTACTTTTCTTATTTATTAATTTTCTTTTCTTTTTTTTTTTTTTGCATTCATGACTGTTTCCTTTGAAGACAACTCACTTGCTACTTGGAGTTTATACTCCTGTTTTTGACATTCCACATGGTTTTCTTTCACGCTCTCAAGCAGAAACTAGATGTTTCCAAGACAATCTTCTGCCTAATAGTTGGAAATGGGCATTTCATGTGAAACAGGATATTAATGTAGAAGGTTTGGCTGAGGCAATCAGACACATTTGAAAGTATGGGGAAATCATGAAGCAGGATTTACAAAGACATTAGTCGCTAATCAACTACAGGACTCTTAACCTTCAACCTACACATTGGGTCTTATAGAGGGTTTGGGACTGGAGTTCAGAAGAACATTTTTGGAGAGAGCTGTTGATGCACTGTGAGCTTTCTCTCTACGTGTACACATACACACACATATACAAGAAGGGGAGGTAATTTCCTCTCTAAGGCAAGAGAGGGGCTTTAAGAAAGAACTTGAGGTAATTTATGCCTGGAAATCTAAAGAATGAGACACGAGATGGCATGCTACTCTCCCTGCAAAGGAGGGGCAGCCATTTTGAAGGGCTGTAATTTTCAGTGTTTATTGTGGTAATTGACATGTTACTGTCTCCCATGGAGCTGATATGGCCAAGTGTAAGAAAGAGCAGTTGTGGGCTCCTCTGATCTCCCATCCAAGAAGACTACCTAAAGGGGACAGAGATCCCTCAGCAGAATCAAGCTGGAGGCATCGCCAGATGCCTAGAGGCTGAGGAAGGCATAAGGGACTATCTGGAACTGAGATATACTCACCTTCCTCATAGGAACTGTGGTTGAGAGATCCCTGGACAAGTGTGCTTTTGTGGGGGCAGAGATAAAGGACAGCAGGATGAAGAATTTTTGAAGGACTCATGAATGGACCCAGCTTTAGACATGGGCTGCCATCAGAGAAAACCACCTCCTGACAAGTGCCATCAAATACAAACTTTTCTGTACCTCATCAGCTCTTTTCCCTTTTCCAGCCTATTCTGGAGAGGCCAGAGACTATGGTTAGCAAGATGGGGGCAGGGCCTGGGAGCAGAGGGTAGCAGTGGAAGGTGGGGAATGACAGGTGAGATGCCAGCCTCATGGCAGGCTGGAAAAGTCTGACTGGAATAGCAGGCTGGAAAAGTTGAGTAACCTTGAATGAAGTTTAAAGTTTTAATAGTTACACTAGGATGAATATATTAATCACCAAGAGCATGTTAATTTATTTCCTGAAAGTGACTAGGGACAGGGGAAGAGCTAGCCCCATGAATAAATTTAATGGGTCAGTGGTAGACAAAAATGAAGTGACTTTATAATTATATCCCAGGTGTCATGCTTGTTCAAAGTAATGTTTTAATATGCATTTTCTCATTTAATCCTCACGATGATCCTCTGAGTTAGGTGCTACTATCGTTCACATTTCATAGATGAGAAAATTAAGCTTTAGGGAAGTTAAGCAACTTGCCCAAGAAAAAAGTGGCTGTCGAGCAGGGACTTGTAGCCAGGCCATCTGTCTCTAGAGCTGCCTCCTGATAACTTGGTAGCTTTCCTTTCCTTGGTGGAAAGCTGGGGTTAATGTTCACCATGGGTAGTTATGCAGAACCACAGTTAACCCATAGGATACCTTTATAATAGGAAAAAGTTACCCTTTCTTCACGACACTTCCATCTGTTGGAAATGTGCTATTAAAACAAGATATTTACTAACTTCTGTGGCAAAGTTTCATATAAAGATATGAACCTCTAGGGATGTTCCCTACCCACCTGTACTACAGCACTTGGCAGCCCCACAGGCATACTGCCACGCAACCAAAATCCAGGAAATAGTTTATTTCTTTGAGACATGTTCTCCAACCTCTGGAGCCAGCCAGATCATAAGCAATGGCCTAGTCCTTACACCATCCGAGATGGAGGCATTCCCATTCAGGAGGGCATGCTCCCCCAGCAGGGACTGAGGAAAAGACACAGGATCTCAAACACCCTGTTTCTCGATCTACACATCACAAAAAATACTTGCTAACTGTGAAAAGTTCAATTGCAAATCCAGAGGCACAAATCTAAATTCTCCCCACCGCCCCAGGGGATGAAAATAAAGCTTGAGGAAAATGTCAGTGAAAACAGTGAGTGCAATAAAAACGAAGAGCTCATTAAATACTCACTGCTCTCGCCCCTCGAGGTACAGATGTTACGAACAATCCTTTTTTTGATCTTTTTCAGTTCGTCAAAGTTATGCACCATCAGTTTTTTATCTGCATTCCCGGTGATCTGGATGAGCTGCTGGTCGTCCACATCCCCGATGCCCACGGAGTAGATTTCGATACCTTTGTGTCTCAGGTCTTCAGCGGCCTGAGCCACCTCGTCTTGGGACTTGCCATCTGTGAGGACCAGCAACACCTGTGGGGTGCCTGCATTGATCCTGCTGCCCATGTCTGGCCGGAAGTAGTGCCCCACCTGCCGGAGCGCAGCCCCAATGTGTGTGTTTCCAAAGATCTGCTGGATGCTTTCAATCTGAGATGACACCTCCTTTTCACCAATTGAAGTTCCCAGTGCAAACTCCGGCCGATAGGTGTGGCTAAACTGGGCCGCTCCTATGTGCACTCTGTTGAGGCTGACATCAAAGTCCTGAACGACAGAAGCCAAAAAGTCCTTCATCTTCTTGAAGTCACTCGGATGAATGCTATTTGAACCATCCATGAGGAAAACAAGATCTACTTTTTCAATTTCACAATCTACAAAGAAGAGAACAAAAAATTGTTATTCTTTCTTGAACCCACCAAGAGTAGATTAAATGTTTGCAGCTAAATAGAAATGATATCTCTATTTTTTTTTTATTGAAATAAAATTGATTGTATATATCTGTGGGGTACAGCGTTGAATATCAATACCTGTGTGCAATATGTGATGCTCAAATCAGGATAATTAGTATATTCAACCTTACACAATGTCATCATTTTTTGTGGCCCTTTACTGGTAGAAACAATATTTCTGAAAGTGGTTTCTCCTCTTAGGTTACCCTGTAGCCACATTAATTGGAGAGGACATAAAAACAAATGATCAGTTCATAAAGGCAGCACTAGGTGTGATCCACTCACACATCCTTTTATGCTTCTCTTGGCTTGACCATTCGGTTTTATGCCATTTTCTTTTCTGAGATGCCAGAGAACTGGGGATAGGGTCACAGAAATCTTGTTCTCGTCTGCAGTCTAGTCCTAAGGCTTCTAGAGAACCCAGTGACAAAACTATGCTATCTACCCTAAATGAATCATTGTGCAGTATACACACATATACAGATGACACACTATCTGCCATAATATGTACAAGTAAATGTTAAAATAAAATTAATTAAAAAAAAAGAAAAAGAAAACTCACTAATAGTAGCAGCACAGCAAGAAAAAACAAAATAACACACATCCATTTAGAGATTCAAACAGAAACAGATATTCTGTATTATTGACTTGGCCTCCTGGGCCCATTGGGTCAATAAATATTTTTCTGACATATTAGGGCAAATTCAGGGCGGGTTTTAAAACCATGGCTCTGGTTATATATAATTGTTTTTCCTCTTTATCAGCCTTTTATCTGGTGTATATAGGCAAAAATATCTACCTGAGAAAAACATTTTTGAACAATGTAGTATAGTTAGAGATGCTTCCCTTGTGTGAACACAGCAAATACAAAACAAAATGAACATAAGAAACCATCGCCAATGAATGAGTTATGCTTGGCACATACTCATGTGTCCTAAGGGATGCTTTCTGGTAAGCATTAGCATTTCCTTGAATTCCCCAGCGATCCCACCACTGACCTAACCTAATTAATTTTTATTGCAGTCTCAGAAAAGATTTAAAGTGTCTGAGATTCCCATAGTCCAGATAAGCAAAGGAGAGATAAAATATATATGTGTGTGTACATATACATATGTTTGTATATGGTTAATAGATTATCCAGAGATTGGTTAACTCATTAAATTCCTTTGTTTTAGTTTCAAATAAAGGAAAAGGAGTACTGTTTTCTGCCCAAAGGAGAACTTTTAATATAAAAGTGAAATGCCAACTTCTACAGTGGACTTGAGAAGGACAGATCAAATTTTAGGCATTGGCCACAAAGAGGATTTGTCCCAGTTTTCAATAAGACCCAGAAAGATTTTGTTAATTTTGTGAAAGGGAAAGATAGTTGGTGCATTCTAAAGAGGCAAGGCATATGAAAATCAGAAAAGCTAAATGATTTTTAAAAAGAATACACCAAGATGTTGGAATTGTGGATTAATAGCAATTCATCTAATAAAAATACTCAGTGTTTTTAGTAAAATACATCTTGGGAAAAATACTAAGGAAACTTAATAGAGCATAATCTCTCTATGAATCAAAAATGTAAAATGGCAGCTGAATAAATGAATGATGAATGATAAAGAATACATACACAAACACGCATGCATGCACAAGTAAACACAACGATGTGCTCTCCAGCTGCCAGAACAGGAGCACAGCAGCCAGGGCAAAGGAAGTCACACTGTGCTCTGTCTTGAAAATGTCTGAGGCTGGAAGAGAGTATTTAACACTGGGCTCCACGTTTTAAATGAACTTGTACCATAACAGAAATAAGTGAAGAAATGGGGGACCGAGGCCTAAAGAAAAGGAGACTTCAGGCTGTGAAAGCTGGTTCTTAGGAGAATTTGATGTCTTGCATAAAGAGGAGGAAGAAGAATTAGGGAGTGGAAAAGCATGTATGCAAATTTGTGTTTTAATCAATAAAGCCTGTTCAGAACTGGTGACTCCCCAGCATTAGTAGAGTTTAGGAAGAAGTGAGTCAGAATGTTGTCAAAATATCCTTGAGGTCTTTCAACCCTGAGATTCTATAAAGTAAGAAGTCCTATGAAACAGGAAGGGTTCCTCCTCCTCTCCTCTCTGCAAAACTTGCTCCTGAGGGCTGTTGCTTTGGTCTCTCTCTCATTTGGCTCTCTGCTAATAATTAGGGAAGACTTAATTAATTGATAAACCTTACCTACTTTTGAAGAGTTACAGACACTATCCGACACATCTGAAAATATCCCCTTTAGGCCTCCAAAAGTCTCCACAAAGAAGTACTTGTCACTTGATCCTGCCATGGCTAACAGCTCCACGGGATTGGCGCCAGCAATCCCCACAGCCAACACAAGGATGCCTTTGTCCCGCAAAGCCCTCGCTGTGGCATTGAGCTTATCAGCATCATGGGATTCCCCATCGGTGATGACAATGAGGACTTGTGGGACCCCCCTGTGCAGGCGGCTGCCTCGGGCTTCAGTGAACATGTGGTCAGAGACGCCTAGTGCCTCCGCAGTATAGGTGTTGCCCCCTATGGGCTGGTCATTCTGGAGCACTGAAATCACCTCTGATTTTGTGCCAAAGTCATCCAAATAAAACAGCACCTCTGGGTCATCAGCATACTTCATAGCCCCAAACCGGACCTGATTCTTGCCAACATTGGCTTTTTTCACTAAGCCAATCATAAAGTCCTTCATGATATTATATTCATGATAGTCGATGCTGCCAGAGCTATCGATTACAAACACAACATCCAAAACTTCAATCCGCTTGCATTCTAAAAGAGGAAGAGAAAGGGAAACAATATGAGATTAGCTTTGAATAGTTGGGAGATTCCCCAACCTTTCTTTAAAACTGCTGGTGTTTTCTCTCCATGGGATCATGCTGTACCTTAGAATGTCAATTCTCTGGATAGAGACAATACACATACTCGCTTAGGTGAGATTTTAGGACAAGGCAGGTGTAAAGTAAAGTGTACTGCAGGTGGTGGGAGGGGATGACTTCATAATCACAGGCTCATTAGGAATAAAATTTCAAAAACCTTTAGACTAGAAAAAGAAAAATCACAATTCTGTGTAAATTTTCCTACAAAAATGGTTCCTTCTACATGTGCTTTTATTTATACGAATTTGCCTTTTTTCTTAAACCAGAGAGATCTTGAGATTTCATTCTTAAGATAAACCTTGGAGAAACAACCCAATGAAAACGAATTTGGCAACACTATATAATTTTTTATGGCTCCACAATTGCTGACTTTGCAAGATTATATTTTCTCCCTTCTTGACTTTCTTGAAACATTATCTACTTTCATTATTTGTCCTCATTATAGAAATAAGCCCATTTCTCACTTGGCTCAATCAAGTTGTCCTAGCATGACGTTCTTATCAACTTTTTAAACCTGAGGCCAATGCTGTGGAAAAGTAAAGCAGGAAAGACCTAATTAATGCTTAATCCATGTGTAGCATGTTCCGTCTAAAGGCACAGTGTTTCAAATGCTAGCTCATTCATTCTGGAGAAATGGAATTGTAAGACACTTATTTAGTCCTTATGTAGCACATTTTCTCTACAGGCCTTAGAAAGTTATGATCCAAATGTTAACTCATCCATTCTTGAGAACTGGAATTGTGAGAAAGTAACCCCACACACACCCCCATTATCTCTTTTTCCAGCCACTTGCTGGCTATGCATAGAGCTGTTGAAAAATCAAGAGCCAATGTACTTACCCCACATGGAAGCCATGTGTACAGCACCATAAACCAAATTCCCAAGAAAGGCTGGCTCCACTAAAGAAAGAATTATGGCCCTCTGGCCTTCAGCTGCCTGTGAAGCCTCCTTGGATTACCCAGGGGACGGGGGAATAGATTGCTTAATGTTGGAATCCTTCAAAGAGTTCATATTTATTCTGGGTGGAATTACCAGGGAATACAAAACAGGTGTACTCTTTCTACAAAACACAGACCATGACCATCAAACCTTCTAGTGGAAGCTGAATAGAACTATTATTTGAATAAGAGAACAATGTTCCTCACCTCCCTTAAAAACCCATTAAGATACATCTTCTTCATAGAGACTTTTCAGAATGCCTCTGTCACTAAGCCCTATGGTTCACAGTATAATCAACCCCTTATATTTGCTGGTCTTTTGCTTGGTCACTTCCGTTACTCTGCAGTTTCACTGGAAGAAGGTGGGGATATGCCAGTTACTTTCTTTGAAGCATCCATTGCTCAAGTTCTCTTACTATAGTTCTCCTTTATAAGATTTAATAAATATCTAAATGTTATCACAAACAGTATCTCATTTGATGCAAATATCAGTCTTTAGAAATTGCAAAAAATTAAACAAAAACCCATATATAGTTGATTCTAGGCTACAGGGGAGCCACCTTGCCCAGGACGTTATGCGCCTCTATCGCCTGCCTCAGCAGCCCACGCGCAGCCCAGTGACACAAGGTACACAAGGCGGAGCCCCTTGCCACAAGGTAGAACCAACTCCGTGGGATAATTCATGCTCCAGAGCTCCCCCACAAGATCAGGATGAAACTAGACCCCAGCGAGTATGACCTTCTTGCTTAACTCCCACCCACTTTCTATCCTGCTTTCCTTACTCCCCTTCTGAAAACTCCTCCTCAATAAATAACTTCCACCAGAGCCCCTGACTCAGTGTCTGTTTCTAGGGAACCTGATTTAAGAGCTGGTATGACACTATTTTTCTTAAATGGAGGATTTATCACTCTAGGGCTATTTGTCTACAAATGGGAACGAACTTAGGTGGGTCAAAATTATTCCCTATTGTCTAATTCAACAGGTCAAAGCAACAAGGATAAACATTTCAATTAAAGAAAAGTTTACAACATTCAGACAGGAATCTATTTAAGAAATAATTGCTAACATAGACATATCCAAACGGGTATTTGTACAGTCCTGCTAGTGAGTGTGCCCATACCTACCTTCACGGGGGCTGCATATTCCAAAAACAAGGTCATCTTCAATGTGCTGCAGGATGTCAAAATTCTCAACATAAAATACCATGTCCGGCCTCCCGCTGATCTCCTCAAGCTGGGTGACATTGGAGCCAAACACTCCCACAGAGTAGATAATTATGCCTTCTTGCCGAAGTGCTACTGCTGGGTCCTTTACTATGTCATGAGCTTCGCCATCCGTGATGAGGATGAGAAACTTCCTGACATTGGGCCGGGCTCCCTTGGCCGGACTGAAGTACTGAGACACAAATGTTAGGGCACTACCGGTCATGGTGGTTTCTCCAATGTGAGGCATTCGGTCTATTGCATTTGAGATTTCACTTTGGGACATGAATCTGTTGAGTTGAAACTCCTCTTTGTTGATGTCACTGAACTGGACGACGCCAATTTGCACCCGATCTGCCCCAATCTGAGATTTAGTCACCAGGTTTTTCATAAATGTTTTCATTTTGCCGAAGTTTTCAAGTCCTATACTGCCAGAACTATCCACCAGAAACATGATGTCGGCTTTCATCTCTTTGCAGGCTGCATAGGAGACATCGGGATGTTTATTTAAGTTATTTACATGTAAAAAAATTAAGAGTAAATAGGAAAATCCAAAACACAAATAATTTTGTATTGATGTTAACTGTGTGCTTAGTGAAGATTATTAGTACGTAAATAAGTCACTGAAGGAAATAAAAGTGAGAATCTTCTATTTGTTATTTGGTAATTTGCTTAAATATATAACTCAGGGTTTCTCAACTCCAGCCCTGTGGACATTTGGGGCTGGATCATTTTTATTATGGTAGGCAGTCTGTGCATTGTAGGATACTGTTAGGTGTTTAGCAGTATCCCTGACCTCTACCCATTAGATGCCAGCGGCACTCTATGTTATGACAAACAAAAATGTCTGTAGACATTGCCAAATTCTCTCTGGGCGGCGGGGGGGCGGGGGGGGGACAAAATCACCCCAGGCAGAAAACCACTGATATAGCTCTAAAATATTTCATTAAATTTTATAAAAAAGAAATTTAAATAAACCCAAAATACCCCTTAAAACCTGCAATCATTTGATCTAATTACACATGTGGTAACTAATCATTTATCTATTCTCGCAGGGATTTGTGGGAGGAAGCTAAGTAATGCGTATTAGGGAGCATGCCTTCAGATATCTTTCTTATGCTTCAGATATTAATTAGAACAACGTTATAATGGGCTCTCAGTTTTGTTCTGGAGAACAGACATAGTTACACAAGTCAACAAACCTCAGCTTTGAGATTTATGTTGTTTCTCTAAACCAGCAATGGTCAAATATTGCCAGGAAGGCAATTTGTGAGCTAAAGCCAACAGGTGAAGCCACCATTTCTCTCACCTTCCTCGGCACAGATTTCTTGCACGACTTGGTTTCTGATGTCTTTCAAAGTGTCAAAGTCATGCACATAGTACACTCTCTTCTCCTCGCCTGCCAGCGCTCGCAGCTGCGTTTGGTTGGCTTCCTTCACTCCAATAGCATGAACACGGATGTGCTCTTCTCTCAGTCTGTTCACAGGTTCCAAGATGTCGTCCTTGGACATGCCTTTCGTCAGCACGACAAGGTGACATGGCACTTTGTTTCCTCGCTGCTGCTTTGCTTTTTGCAGCAGTTTGAGTGTGAAATTCAGGGCTGCACCTGTGTTTGTGTTCCCACCCATCTGCCTGATGTTCTCAATGGCCTTTCCCAAATCATTCTTGTTAGAGTATTTATTGATCTCAAATTCCAAATCCCAGCTATCGGCATACTGAACGGCCCCCACCCGCACCTTGTCGGGGGCGATGTTGAACATGCCCACCACGTCTGACAGGAAGGTCTTCATTTCCTGGAAGTCTGTGGCCTGCGTGCTCCCTGAGCCATCAATGAGCAGATAGATGTCTGCTTCCTCAGTGTCTACACAACCTAGAATGGAAGCAAAAAGTCAAGTGTGGTATTTGGGGCAAGTGTACAGGAGAAATGGAGCACATAGGAAGAAAACAAATAAGAACTTCCTCAGACAGAAAAAATGCAAAACAGCTTTTAGGCTTAAAAGACATGCTTTACTAGCTGAAAAGGGGGCAGTCTTAGCATCAGCTGAGCCAAATAAATTGCTTCCGACAGTTTAAGATCACTACCCTAATTCTCTGCCATGAATCAGGGTAAATCTGGATATATATTCCTAATATAAAATCTGAAACACTCCAAAATCTAAAACATTTTGAGTACTGACATGATGCTCAGAGGAAATGCTCACTGGAGCAGTTTGAATTCCAGGTTTTCGGATTAGGGATGCTCAACTGTTAAATATGTGCAAATATTCCAAAATCTGAAAAAAAATCTGATATCTGAAATATTTTTGTTTCCAAACATGTTGGATAAAGAATACTCAACCTATAGTAAAAGATAAGAAAAACTTGAAGCTTTTTTAGTTCTCCCATCAGTAAATAAATGCTTAGCAATCAGTGATGTGTTGTGAAATGGAGAAGGTATTTAACTGAATATTGTGGATGTATGAGCTCCCTTTCTTAGAGGAGCCTTTATTACTTCTCAGCCACTCCTACTGAATTTACTAAACTGGGGGTATTGTCAGTGAACTTATCTGTGTAAGACATGCTATAAATAATTGTTGAAGAATGTATACATATATAGGTATAGACATCCATAAAAACACTTACATAGCATGCGTGTGTCTCTATGAGACACATAAAATACATTGCCCTCTGTCTCTCTCCCTAAACTCGCAGATACTAGAATGGTACTTCACAACACATCATGCAAATACTTTGCCCTCCATCCAAATCGTACTTCCTGTTTATTTTCTAAATTGGAATTGGGGATAAGGGAAGAAGAGTATGGAGAGAAAAGTACAAAAAGAATTAAAAAATAAAGGAAAGGGCAGGGGAATGTGAAAGGCAAAGGAGAGACAGAAAAAAGAGAAGGGAGGAAAAATCACAAAGGAAGGTATATGAGAAATGAATCCACTTAAAGATGCACAAAAGAGGAAGTAAAAAGGGAAATTCCTTATCCTCATGCCAACACCTTCACAGCTTTGATTCTCCCCAAACTGGACTTCATATTATCAAGCTAACGTAAAAAATTAGGAATTTATTCTCCCCACCTGCCACCTGTCCTGCCAGTCCCCTTTGTATATATAATAGCTGAAAGACTCAAAAAGACAAGAAAAAAGAAAAAGCATCTGAGCAACCCTTCTCTCAGCAAAAGTCTTTACCGGATTTGAGGGTTTCGGTTCTCTCGGACAAGACAGAGACTCTGTGTGTTATTTGCTTCCGCAGCTTCTTCAGAAACGTCTGGTTGTGAGCTGCCAGGTCAGAGAAGGTCTTCAGTTTGGAGATAAACTGCTCGGCAGGGTGAGATGCTATCTTTTCCAGCTGGGCGTCACTGGCCCCCTCTATGCCCAGGGTGAAGATAGTCACGCCCTGGCGCCGGAGGTCAACAGCTGCCTTTGTCACGTTGTCTTCTGAAGCTCTGTGGGTCACCAGCACTGCTATCTGGGGCACCCCCTGATTCTTCCGACTGCCATTCTGTGCCCTGAAGACTTCCTTCCTGATCTTTTTGATGGCAGCTCCAGTGTAGGCCTTCCCAGCCTGGGGAGAGAGGTTCTGTATGTGCTGGAGAACCTCTGACTTATTTATGCCCATGCTTAGCGAATTTATCACCTTTGTCTCTTCGCTATAGGCCACGAGGCCAACCCTCATGCAATTTTCCTTTATGTCGAGGGCAGATATGCTTTCTTCCAGGAACTCTTTAAGATAGTCAAAGTTCTCCTGGCTGCCGTTGATTGACACATCCAACAGGAACACAACGTCAGCCACAGAAGGGCCTTGGCAAACTGTGTGGGCAAGGAAGGAATAAGCAGTTTTAGTGGGAGCTTTAACACCTCTGCTGAGCTAAGAGGCATGGAGAACGTACGTTAGAGCTAGGTTACACACTCAAAGAAAGAAGGAAGTATACAGCATGATTATGAAGCTGAGATCAGAGGGGCCTGGATTCAAATACTGCATCTTCACTAAACTCCCAGCTTCAATTTCCTCATATCTAAGATGAAGATAATAATAGTATTTATCTCATAGAGTTGTTATGGGGACTAAATGAGATAATATACTTACCATGGGGCCTGGTACATAAGACTCATTCAAAGAATAGTAGCTATTGCTATCATATTAAAATCCTTTAAGCACCATCACTTACAATCAACAATTGTAGTCCAAATATTCCTCCAGGATGGTAACAGAAGAGCAATTGCACTATCAGTTATTTCATCTGGGAAAGATGCTAGTAATAAGGATTCATATTTTCAAAGATTAGAAGACAAGCATTCTCTATTATCAATAGGTAGTTATATATGTCATCTCATTCAAATTGATTTATTTAACCAGGAATAATGTGTTTCCTGTATCACGTATTTGAACACGTACACTTTGAGCAAATAGTTTTGTACTGGTCCTTCTCTGACCCTCACCTGAATGATGCCCATAAACTCTTGGCCATTCTTGTCAATACATTAGTACAAGAGGACAGACCAAGACAGCAGGCTGGCTGTGGTGCAGAACACAGGAAAGCTAGTTCAGAGCAGAGCAGCAGGAGGGAAGCAGTGTTGGGCTGAAACCGCATGGGCTAGGAGTCAGGGGACCTCACCTAGCTCTGACTTCAGACTGCAGTCTGGCCCTGGGCCAGGCTGCATCACTTCTAAGGACACCTGAAGGTTCCTTTCTGCAGAAAAGGGGGTTTGGATCAGCGGAAATTGTTTCTAGTCTAACATTCTGTCATTATGTTACGTGGCTTCAGGAGTCAAATATTTCTTTAGAGGCAAATTTACCTTTTGAATGAACCAGTAATAAAACTACACAGCAACTAAAGCCCAGGGAGATAACTCAGAGAGGTAAGCTAGGTAGCAGAAGAAGGTGTCCCTAAATTTTAAGAAGTCTGTGATGATATGTACTATGGATAAGTGAAACATGGAAAACCAAGGCTTGTGGGGTTCATTGGATTTAAAATGGCCATAATTATTGGACCCTCGCGAACACATAGATATTTCATATTTGAGAATGTAGCCTATTGGGGGGATGGGGATGTTCACAGAGTTTCAATCGTCTCCCCACTTTGATTTTTCAAAAGTATTTTATCATCATCCTGCATGTGCATCCTAAGCCCACCTTCTACGTGGGTATCATCGGCTGCTCCTGCCTCGTGCTTTGCTGCCTCCTTGATGATCTGCGTCATGTTTTGGGAAAACTTGCTGAGGTCTCTGACCGTCCGAAGGTTGAAATGAAACTGAGCCGTGGCCATGGCCTTCAGGTTTTCCTCGGAAGCTTTCTCCATCCCCACAGAGATGACTTTTACCCCATCTTTCTGCAGGGCCTTTGCAGCCTCTTCCACCTCATCCTCAGACTCAGCCGAAGCCAGGACCACCAAAATTGGGGGAAACTCTTTCTTGTCTCTTCCATCTGCAGGTGCAGAGAAATAGGTCCTGTGAGCCTCCTGCAGAGCGTTTCCTATCCGCAGGGACCCGCCAATGAACCTGAAATTCTTCTTGAGGTGGTTCAATATGGGGTTCCTGCTCTTGAACGTGTTCAGGTGGAATTCATCGTGGAGCTTGTCACTGTACTGGGCCAGGGCCACGCGGTACTTGCTGGCCTCTATGGGGAGACTGGTGATCATTTTGTTGATGAACATTTTTACCAGAGGAAAGGACTTAATTCCCAGGTGATCAGAGCTGTCCACCAGAAACACGACATCTGCATACTCAGGGCCTACAAAACCACAAACATAAAAACAGAGCAAAAACACCAAAAATTTACTGCCATATTATATACTTTCAACTATATAGGGAAAAACTTACTTTCTTCTTTTATTTATTGTTTAAATATCTTCCTAGTAAACTGAAAATAATAGCCTAAAACTGCATTCTCTAAAGAAAAAGAAATATTTGTTTCTTGGTCTATTTTATATAGCCTCTCATTTAAACTGATCACAAAATTAAGCATCGCTTTTGTAATAAATTAGTTAATTAGAAATAGGTAAATTTTGAGAAGTAAAAAATCATGGGTTTTTATAACTTTAGTGGATAATCTCTTGTACTTGTAATTTTTTTTTCACTTTCAGAATTTGACCTTGATTTATATCAGGAGAATAAAAATTTTAATTGAGAATCAAACTCCTCTGAATTGGTTTGAATGGTATCTGAAAGATCGGCCTTCATGGTGATTCTCATTTAAGCAATGCTACTCATGATCTGATTAACTTATAAACATATTAGTTTTATATTCCAAAGTGTCAAATTGATGAAGTTTGAAAAATACCTACACATCATAAAAATATGGGATTGCCTTAATCTATTTTAAAGTTACTTACAGTATTTTTTGATGGATCAGATGAGTGAGCATTATAATTGGTAAACATATTCTCACATATGTAAAATGTGATGGTACCAATACATCTGAGGCTAGAGAAGGGATTATATATAGTTTTAGTTTCCATTATAATTATGTTTTATATAATAAAATACTTTGCTGAACTTTTAAAACTCCATTTAATGCTAGATTCAATGCTAGATATCCAGAATTATATTTTTATGTGAAAGAACCACTAGGTTCAAACACTAAATGTTGTTTACTAAGAGTCTGCTGGTTTGGACTCAGAACTCTCACTACCCTCATCCAGGGAAGGGAGGAAAGTGGTGTGTGTGTGTGTGTGTGTGTGTGTGTGTATGTGTATGTGTTTGAGAAAATAAATTGTAAGTGAACAAGTTGTGAAAACCCTGACTTATCAGCTAACTCTACAAGCTCCATCAAGCCACTCAACACACTTAGGCCTCAGTTTTCTCTCCTTTAAAATAAGTAGATTCAACTAGAAAATATCTAAGTTACTTCCTCACGCTAAGATTTTAATGATCTGAAATGGCTACTGGATAAATTCTAATCGAAGTCAAATAACTTCAACCTTTTCCTTTCTATCATTGCTAGGAAACAAGTTTTGGCACACCTGTTCATTCTGTTTGTAGCTGTCTAATCGAGGCATAGCAGATAAAATCATTTTTTATTGTCTTTTAAATAACCTAATTCCAACCAGTCTGAATTCCTTTCATGATTAGATAGCCAGCAGCAGCTCAAGGGAAGAAATAATTTGGGGTGAGTCAACACCTTCCTCCATGAGGAAGCTGGAACCCCTGTGAGAACTGTCAGTGAAGCTAGCCCAGGAGGGCTTGACTTGTGACTAATGGTGACCTTTCTGTTCATGTAGGGATAGGCAATGCAGATGTCTGGCACATGAGGTGATTCAGGTTCTAATTAGGCTCATAACTATGTCTGAACCTTGAAATGGTTGGGGAAGAAACATTGGCTCTCCTTTAAAAGCTTAAGGCCCACTGGGACATCAAAGGAAGACATTTGCAGAGCAATGTCTAGCTTATTTCTTTGCAAAATTTGCTTCCAATGTCAAAGTCCTTGAGAAAGCTGGCTCTGAACATGAACTATTAGTACAAGAACCAATTATTTAAGAAGTAGAAGAGGTGGTGAAGGGTGGGCCAGTATTTTGACTTTAAGTCCACTGGGTATAGATTGCTGACGGATAGTAGACAGTAACTATGGAGCTTTCTCTCCAGGGTAAGAGCACTTTATTTACAATAAACTAACAGTTGAAATTGGAGCAAAATCTAGATACTTAACCAAGACAACCTTTTGGCACAAATGAATTAGAAAGAGACATTCTAAGTTTCCAGGCCCAAACCTAATATTAATATAATTTTCATGCAACCTCCCAGAAGACCTAAACAGGGTTGAAACTGAGGACAGATGACAGCTCTCAGATCTTTCTATCGTTAACAAGGAAAAAGGTCCAGAAACGAATGATCTTCAAAGGAACGGGATGACCTCAAAAAGAAATTGACCCACTACCTCCACCCTCACTACCATTGAAATCAAAACAAAGCAAAACAAAACCCTTAGCTTTCAAGTAAGGCAAACTCACGTATTATCTATTTTCTATAATGATAATAAAGGGAAAAAAATTATTTCCACTTTTTTTTTTCCTTACCAGAATCTTGGTTCACAGAAACATGGGAACAAATTATTACGAGGAACAAAATCAGCAACATTTTCATATTATGACCCGAAAAATCTCCAACTTGAAATCTGAAAAGGCAAAAATATAAACATCTAAAATTGTTGTGGATGTTATTTGGGAATCAGGATGTGCACCCAGGAGCACACAAAATTATGTAATAAATTGGTTGCAACAGGGAACAAGGAATTTGTTAGGTTCACTGACCTTCTGATCTGTGAAGTGTATTAAGGAAAAATGAACCATCAACATTTACAGTCACAAGAGTTTTTCCTGGTCCCCAGGAAACATGAGATTTTGGTAGCCGGATGCATTCTCACACATGATTCCACAGTAGCCAAGAAATACCACGTGTTCCTATTAGTCATCTCCCTGCACCTCAGTGCCATCCTCTGTCTACTCACTGCCAAGACAATTCAAAGTTCACAGCTGGGACTCACTCTAAGAGCTGTATTGTAATTTCCCCATCATGAACATGTAGGTGTGTTCATTTTTGAATAATAAGTATTTCTAGATGTGGTCGATATTCCCTGTTTTTTGTCTTCTCCCCTAATCAGAAAGTTAATCATTTTCCTTTATCCTTAAATTTGAGAAAAGACATATAAAACAAGCAGTGACTTTCTATATTCCACACATTGTCTTGCTCCTCAGAATGAGGAGATCAATTTGCTCCACTTTGTGTCCAGCGACCTAGAACTGCACGAGGGAAGGGAATTCTAATTGTGGTTTAGCCTAAAGCATTTTCAGCCACCTTGAAATCTTCATTTTATGGAATGAAATAGGATCTTAAAGATATAGAAAATTAATATTTTAATGAAGCAGGTTGGGCTCACTCATTCACTCATTTATCCATTGAACAAAAAATGAATTGATCTGTTTTTTGATTGATTAATAAACTAGTGTTTCTGTGTCCTGCTTAGTTGCTACCCAAACATGTATTGGCAATAACATCTATCACTATTTCACTCCGTATCAGGCAGGCTCTTAGTACTTAATATTTCACCCCTTCAGAAAAGTGACATTTGCCATGAAATTCTCCATCCCCATTTCCTCACCTACTCCACTGTCTCTCTGACATTCTGCAGTTTGGGACTCTGTTCCAATCCTTGACAAGAAGTCTAGATGATACAAAATTTTCAGGCTGTAAGTCAACTTATCAGTCCTATTCAAGTGGTAATCAGTGAGCTGGAAGAGCTCTTAAAAGATTATTTTCAGTTCCACCTTTCCATTTTAGAGAAACTACATACCAAAGTGAACTGACCAAAGTGAAAACCAGTCATACCATCTGTATGAAATTTTCATTAATGTGTACAAAAATAACAAATTCTACCATTTTTGAACCTTTACTATGTGCCATGCTCTGTGCTAACAGCTTCACATTTGTCCTCCTGTTTGATATTGATAGCAACCTTAGTAGCAGGTACTACTGTTCTTCTTATTTTGAAGATAAGCAAACAGATTCATAAATGGGAAGCAAGTAGCTGCTGCAAGTCACACTGGTAACATGGGCCAAAGTTAAGGCTAGAACCCACATCTGACTTCAAAACCTGTCATTTAGAATTCAGTCACATTGCATCCTGAACTCAACGTTATGAACACAAAGTGTCTCCTAGTTTCTTCATTCTAAGTACAGGAGATGTTGGTACTGCTTTCATACCTTTTTATTTTTGCTTTTCAAAACTAGGTCTTTATACTATTTTCTTCTTTTGTTTTTATTATGAGCTTTATAAATTAGTGCAGTCTTTAGGAGTTATGAGAAAGAAAAGAGAAAATGCCTTGGAAAGAGCTCAGGGGAACAATGTCAAAGGTTTCAGCAGTCAAGATGGGAAGAAAAAAGTACCGAATGTGGGTTAAATACTTGGATAGAGAAGTGAGGATTAGGTAAGGCCACAACAGTCCCAAAGCAGCATGCATCATCTGGGTGTTTCCCCATGCAGATGGTCAACACCACTGGTACCTTAAAAGTTAAGTTCTCTGGGATAGCATCCTGTCGAACAATTTTCTTGCAGCCTTTAAATGGAATTCCAAATCTGTTGTGCTGTAAGACTATACTATGTTGAAGCCCAGTGAAAGGTTCTCTTGAGGTGCTTATGTACCCAACTTTGTGTCTATGTGGTGGGGGGGGGGTTGGGGAAGGTGGTAGGATGGGTGGTGGGACTAAATCTCCAAGTTCATGCTTGGGAGATAGGGAGAATGGATTCATTTGTAACTACATCAAAACATGAATGAAGTGTCTATAATCTATATGTTGTTCTACCGGATATAACCAAGATTTTCACTTTTAAATTTAAAAAAGATCTGATTCCCTGAAGACGTATGAGGGGAAAATGAAGGAGATATTGAAGGTAATCAACATAAAATTTAAATTCATGGTGCACTCCATTTTAGTACAACAACAGTGAGATTGATTGCCTCTCATTACAGAAACACTCTGAAAGGTACAGGTCTCTTTAATCTAAATTTTGTTGCACCCCATTCATTCTTAATCAAGCAAGCTGAGGCTAATATCTCTTTTGGAAGTTATATGCTATGCAACTTTTTAAACAAGCATGGATCTCTGTAAACTAGAATAACCCTAACCCTAACCCTAACTACAGCTGCAAAAGCAACACAGCAACTCAAGCCTTGGCTTCAGACCCAGAATGTTCAGAACTTGTGCAATACCTCTCTTGAGGCTGCAGTTCAGATGACCTCTGCCCCATACAAGCCAATTCATAATCCAGGTCATATCTTTGGGAAAAAGTACCTGTAGTAAGAGCCCAGAAGGGATATAAAAGAGACTTTGGCAAAATCAAGATAAGCATCATTTCTTTTTTTCTGAAATAAGGCATGCAGGATACATTATTTCTTTTTTTTTTTCCTTTTTGTCTTTTTTACTGACCGGTAACGAGATTGCAACCCTCGGTGTCGCTCCCGTACCGGGGACCGGCAACAGGATCGCAACCCTCGGTGTTGCGCCCGCTCCGCGCTCAGCCAGTGAGCGGGAACCAGTCTCCACATGGGATCCGAAACCTCGGCGGGAGCGCCGCCGCGCTCCCAAGCGGCGCACTCTCCAGTGCGCCACCGGGCCGGCCCAGGATATATTATTTCTAAGTACTAATTTTATTTTTCTTCAGAAACAAGAATGTTATCAGCTGTTTTACTGTAAGAAGCAATACTGGGTCTTTACCACAGTGTTAAAGATAAATGGTTGATTTTTTGTTGAACTCCTGATGTCGCCACTATTTCCCTTCCTCAAGCCATTTGCTTCTTGGAAGTCAAAAGGTAGAGAAAAAATATTTAAAACTATGTTAAAATGCTGCTGGATAAATCCTTGACACACAATAGACACAAATAAGTATTGAATCAATGATGACAAGGAAAACAAAATGCACAAGCACTGGTCATGCAAGCAAGTTGTACAGCTGACTGTTAATGCCACATTTCCCCCCAAATGCATTTTCTGGAATTACAAAGCAGCTTTATAGTTTAATTATATTTGAACAAGGTCATGCAGGTGACCTTGCCACTTTGTAAAATGAACACTGTTCTGTGTTGAGGAGGAGCTTGGCTGAGTAGAAGGAACACAGGCCATCAAGTCCCATGACCTGGGTTCCACTCCATTCCTAAACTGTCACGTGACCTTAGACAGCATCATCCCACTTCCCCGGGTTCCTAATCTGAAGCACAAGGGGTTACATCCTCTCTAAGTTGTAGCATCTCCACACTTTAACAGTTCCCTGATCTAACAAACACAACTAAAAGAAAGAAGAACATGAACAATTAAGCAAAGAGTACATTGGAACAGTGAGCACATGTTTTGAAACAGTCCCATGGAGGAAACTGCCCCTCAGACAACCTCCTGCGGCAGGTCCTCTGTTGGAGGGGCCAGAACAGCCAGGGAAGGAAGCACGTCTGGACCACTGATCCTCTCCAGTTCAAAAACTCTGCTGGAACCTTCAGGACCCAAGTAGATGGATTTCAGGGGACTAAAATTTCAACAATGCAAACCCACTAGAAATTAAGTATCCAACTCAGAAATTAGAAAAATAGAATAAATTCGAAAGAAATATAGAAATACTAAAATACTAAAAATTAGAGCAGAAATCAGGAAACTACAAAGTAAAGATAAATTAAAGAAAATTAAGCTTTGAAAAGATAAATCTCAGAATAGATTGACAATAAAAAGAGAGCGAGAGAGAAGATAATTGTATAAATGAAAAAGGAGACATAACTATCGATAAGGCAAATATTTTGAAGAAATTGAAGAAGTAGTTAAAAATATTCATGGAAAGAAAACACCAGGCCTAGATGGTTTTATTGGCAATTCCACCAAACTTCAAGAAACATCATCTGAATCTTTTATAAACTATTTCAGAGAACAGAAAAACAGAAATATTGGCCATTTTATTTTTCTGAGGCCATTATAGTCTTGATAAATAAAACAAAAACAGTGTTAGAAAAAAACTGTTAGAAAGAAAAATTAAAGGCCCATTTTACTCATGAAGATGAACACAAAATATTCTAAGCAAAACAATAGCAAATCAACTCTCACAGTGTATAAAAATAGATAATACATCATTTATAAGTTAGGTTTATCTCAGGAATATACAAAGGTTTAAAGTTAGAAAATACATAAATATAACCCACTACATTAACAGATTAAAGGAGATAAGCTATAAATACAAAAAACAAACATACCAATTCATGATTTTTTAAAAAAAACTTAGCAAATTAGGAGTAGAAACTTACTTAACCCAACAAATGATATATTTTAAAAATCTGTGATATATACCATCCTAAAGGGAAAAAGTTAGAAGTATCCTCTTTAAAATGAGGAACAAGAGCTGGCCGGTTGGCTCAGTTGGTTAGAGCACAACCTTATAACCCCAAGGTCATGGGTTCGGTTCCCTGTACTGGCCAGTTGCCAAAAAAAACCCCACAAAACTAAAATGAGGAATAAGAAAAGGTGGCCTACTCTTACTCCCAGGTTCTAGCAAAATTAAAGTGATAAGGATTGAAAAAAGAACAAGAAAAAAAAACCTGTCATTTTTTGCAAGTGACATGATTGTTTACATCTATAGAC